TCTAAACGCTTGACTTACCAGAAAACGATCATCCCGTGGTTTGGTACAAGGCATCCTTTTAGAACTAGGCCTTCTCTTGACGAAACCAGTCTCTTGATAGCACTGCTAAGGCTATTTCCACCGCTATACAAAAATAATAATACGTTTAGATGTCAACGAAATGAGATAATCAATAAAAATGGATTAAAAGTTACTTAAAGTCGATAGCGACATGGAAGATACATTAGTGTTACATCTCTATTTTAACAGTTCTATGTCATTCGTGGGAGACTAGAGACCGTGTAGGTTCAAAGACCCGTGTTACACACCAGTTTCGAATTTACTTGGTAACTAGTGTATTATACAGAGATAACATATGTTATGGTTAGAAATTATATTATACTGTATCATATTTTTATCCGTCGGGAAAAAATAGGATAGGGAAAAAAAATTAAAACCATGTATGTCCGTAACGTATGTATGTGAGGGTTTGCCTGTTATTATGTCCGTGTGTATGTTTGTTTATATCTATGAGTTATGCAGATGATCTGACAATACTAGTCTCTGGTGAGACAGCAAGCATTGTGTGCGACCTGACCCAAGCGGCTCTCCGTATTGTTGAGAGATGGTGCAGGGAATATGACCTAACCGTTAATCCAAATTAAACGGTTATAGTAATGTTCACATAAAAACGAATGCTGAATAACTATCATCTTCCAAGTCTTTTCAGCACAAAACTCCAACTTTCTTCCGAGGTAAAATACCTAGGTCTTACCTTGGACAGTAAACTTAAGTGGAACAAACACATAGAAAACAAAATCAGCAAAGCTAGTTTAACTTTCTAACAGTGTAGAAACATGATCGGCAAACGATGGGGTTTAAAGCCAAAAATTATACTGTGGCTGTACAAAACTGTAATTCAGCCCATGATCACATATGGCTCTCTGGTATGGTGGACCAAAACCAATGAAGCCACCACTATACAAAAGCTTCAGCGTTACCAGAGATTATCTTGTATGGCTGCCACGGGCTGCATAAGGACAACACCAACAGCAGCTTTGTAGGCTATGCTGGAGCTAACACCGCTTCATCTACATATACAACAAGAAGCAACTTTAGCTGCCATTAGAATCAAGACCCTAAATCTTTTAAGTAAGAGTAGAGTCCCCCATACAGATATAATCGATAGAATTTACTCAAAAAATCCTATATTACAAGCGAAGTATGATAGGATCCCAAAACAATTTGTATTCGATAAGAAGTACAGGAAACAATTGAAGGAAACTGACCATCTGGAAGGATTGGGTCCAAGAGAGCTCAAAGTTTTCTGGATGGCTCTAAGACAAATGAAGGTGTGGGGTCTGAGGCTTTTTCTGAAGACCTTAATATCCACGTATGTACACCGCTGGGTACCCACAACATAGTCTTTCAGGCTGAATGCATGGGTATCATCCAAGCGGCCATAGAAATAGATGCTAGGAAGGTGAAAGAATTCTCTATCAGAATACTGACCGACAGTATGGCGGTACTATAAGCTCTGAGTTGCAATGTGACGAACTCGGGACTGATACACGAGTGCCATCAACGATTGAATGAGGTATGTAAGTATGCAATGGATCAAGGGACACAGCGGATCTAGAGGCAACGATGCAGCAGATGAACTGGCCAGAAGGGGATCGGCCCTAGCAACTATAGAGCCGGAACCAATAATACCAATCCCCTTTAGCTACGTTCGTTCACTGGTACGTAGATACTTCAATAATTTACACGCTCAGCTTTAGAAAAATTTAGTAGACTGTAGACAAGCTAGGGAAGCCCTACCTGAAATAAACAGTCCTCTAACCAAGGTTCTAATGAGACAGAAGAAGCCACAGATCTGGATAGTAACAGGTGCTATCACAGGACATGGCTCTTTTAACAAACATTTGTTCACTATAGGTGTTACTGACAGCCGCCTGTGCAGGGCATGCATGGGAGAGGAAAAAACGGCGGCTCACGTGTTGCTGACATATCCAGAAGTCGCTTCATACAGGGCTAAACATCTCGGCACGCTGGGATCGCTCCCCCGAAGTTGCTTGCAACATCAAGGGACTGCTGAGCTACTTCGGGGAGATATCATGGCTCGAATAAGCATATTATTCCAGCCCACACGCAGAATACGCGCTTAGACGTGGAGTTGCGGAAAACAGCCCGTCGTAAACTAAACTAAACTAAACTAATTGTTCGGTGTCTATGTATGAAAGAGTCTGAAGGTATTCCACGAGTCTATTTTTATATGACCATCTCTTGACTTTATGAATAGATAAGTTTTGGTGTAATTGATTATATAAGTACGGTCCAAAAACGTGAAGAACTTTCTAGCAAAAAAACGTGAAGAAAAGCACTGATTTCGAGTGCCGGGACAAACTTGTGTCTGAAGTCGAGTCTTTGCTGAACAGAGTCTCGGATTGGGGACGACTAAATCTAGTCCAGTTTAACCCCCAGAAGACACAAGTTTGCGCGTTAACCGCTAAAAAGAACCCCTTTGTCGTATCCCCTCCGTTTCAAGGCACTCCCCCTTGTTGCCTCAGCCAGTATCGGAATCCTCGGCGTCGACATATCGAGTGACGTGCAGTTTCGTGGTCACTTGGAAGGGAAGGCCAAATTGGCCTCTAAAAAAGCTTGGCGTGCTCAGCAGAGCGGGACAGTATTTCATGCCGGCACACCACCTGCAACTTTACATGGCACAGGCTCGGCCGCACATGGAATGCTGTTCCCATCTCTGGGCTGGGGCTCCCCAGTACCAGCTCCTTCCACTTGACCGCATCCAGCGCAGAGCGGCTCGAATCGTCGACGACCGAATGGTTTCCGATCGGCTCGATTCACTGGCGCTGCGAAGAGATGTTGCATCTCTTTGCGTATTTTATCGCATCTATCACGGTGAGTGCTCTGAGGAATTGTTCGGATTAATCCCAGCCGCCAAATTTCGTGAACGCACTACACGGGAAACGTCCCGATACCATCCACACCATCTGGATGCTTGGCGGTCCACCACTGTACGTTCCACAAAGAGTTTTCTTCCACGTACAACTCGTACAACTGTCTGTGGAATAGTATACCACCGGCGATTTTTCCGGACCGATACGACCTGGGGACCTTCAAGAAAAGAGCTTACTCCTTTGTAAAGGGCCGGCAACGCACCCGCAATTCTCCTGGTGTTGCGGTTGATCATGGGCGGCGGTAGTCACTTAACATCAGGTGAGCCGCATGCTCGTTTGCCCCTTCTTCTATAAAAAAAAATTAGCTACCCCGTGATAAGGTCGATGTTCCTTATGAGTTTATTTTGAAATTGTATGTTGCTTCAAAACTGTATGATGCACAAATAATTGAAGAACTGTAAGAACTTCGCTAGTTTTATTCGGATCTTAAGTTGGATATGGAAAGGATACGGTATTAACATCAATGGCGAGTACATCACTCACCTTCGATTTGCCGACGATATAGTCCTTATGGCAGAATCGCTGGAGGACCTTAGCACTATGCTCAATGACCTCAATGGTGTCTCCCAACGGATAGGTCTTAAGATGAACATGGACAAAACAAAGATTATATTCAATGTCCATGTCACACCTATGCCGGTAGTTGTGGGGAGCACTATGCTCGAAGTTGTTGACGAGTACGTTTACCTGGGACAAATAGTCCGACTAGGTAAGTCCAACTTCGACCGAGAGGTCAATCGACGGATTCAACTCGGCTGGGCAGCGTTCGGGAAATTACGACACATCTTCTCGTCAGGTATACCTCAATCTCTGAAAACTAAAGTGTACAACCAGGGCGTGTTGCCAGTGATTACTTACGGATCAGAGACGTGATCCTTCACTGCTGGCCGTATGAGGACGCTCAAGGTCGCTCAGCGAGCTATGGAGAGGGCTCTGCTCGGAGTTTCTCTGCGTGATAGACTCAGAAATGAGGATATCCGCAGTAAAACAAGAGTGACCAACATAGCCCAACGGATTAGTAAGCTGAAGTGGCAATGGACCTGACCAACATAGCCCAACGTATTATTAAGCTGAAGTGGCAATGGACCGGCCATATAGCTCGAAGAACTGACAACCGATGGGGAAGAAAGGTTCTCGAGTGGCAGCCTCGTACCGGTAGGCGTAGTGTAGGGCGACCCCCCACTAGATGGAGTGACGACCTGGTAAGAAATGCAGGAAGTCGATGGATGCAGGTGGCTCAGTACCGTGCTTTGTGGCATTACTTGGGGGAGGCCTATGTTCAGCAGTGGACTTGTGAAGGGGTGTAATGATGATGATGATGAAAGTTGGATATAAGTAAGATTTAAAATGGATAACTTTTAAAATTGATATTTTCGTACGTTCTTGTACAATAATATTATGTGTTTTGGCTGCTCCGCCCCAGACTTCAATACCATACTAAGGATTGGCACAAGGCATAATAAGCTTATGTGAACCTTTCGTGGCTAGTGTATCTTAGTGGCTTGTGTAGGGAAGAATATGATAAACCGTTCACACTAACACAGTACACACATGCGTCGCCCGTGTCCAATGTGTAAGTAATTCTCATGAAATATGATAACGACCGCCATCGGCTAGACGGCGGTCTGTGATAAGTTCAGTATTCAATTCCCGTTCCAGTGTATAATGTGAACACCCTCTCTAATAAAAACAAATAAATCGGCTACCACCGATGTGAACAGTCTCATCATTTTCCTCCCTAGACAAGCCCCTAAGATACACTAGCCACCAAAGGTTCACAATATTGGTAACCCCGTGCTAGACATTGTGTAGAGGGGTGGAAGTGATATACGTCGTGCCGCGAAGCCCGCAAATACGCGTGGTATTTAGCAAGGAGCTCAGCCAAGTTAGCGACCTCATAAGCAACCCATAGATCAAGGTCGCTACACTGCTCTGAGGACCAGGCTCTTCAGAGTCTTTCAAGCTACCGCGGAGGCCCAGTTTAACAAGCTTGAGTCGGAGATGGAATTGGGGCAGCAGAAACCATCTTAGCTGTTGGTCAAGATGAATGAGCTCGAGAAAAACTCCGGCACTGACACGCTCATGAATCTGTGGCTAGCGCGACTTCTGGCATGGGTTCGCGTAATCTTGGCCATCAACAGAGCAGAAACAAAACTTGACGACCTCACCGAGAGGGCAGACAAGGTGACGGACAATCTGGGCAACGGCGAGCTGTTCACCGTGGACGCTGGCTCGGACTGCAGCTCGTCGTTGACCTCAACCGTGGCAGAGGTGAACTTCAAGCTGCTGACCCAGGTAAAGACCATGGCACTGGAGCTCCAGACGCTGCGCAGTAAGATGTTTACTCGGAGTGAATATTATATTTTCATCTTTTTTTTTAGCCTAAGATGCCAGTAATATTTTATCATCACGTAAAAGATTTTCGTCTTAAAAACTATTACTGGCATACTTAAATTAAGTACGAAAGTAGATAGAACATAAAGTACATTACATGTGAACATCACACTCAATTGGTACATTACATGTGAACATCAAACACACATTTACTAAAATTTTCGTTGCATTTCAGTTTGACTACGACGTCGTAAGGTACGGTGTGGACGGAAATAGTGAGAAAATTCTTCTCACCATTTCATCCCTTGTGTGTTATAGGAGGAGACTGTGTCAGAGAAATTTAATGGCTCCGATATTGGGCGGTTCAACCACCTCATTTACGCCAGAAGTAAAATACCCAGACCGACTAACAGCAACACCGTCAGATATGTAAGACCTCTGGTACCACGCATGTCAATTCATCTACCAACGTGACAATTAATGGAAAACCACAAAAGAGGCCCATGTCCAGCAGAGGATTTTAGTGCAAGAGTGAGTACAAATAAGAGCTAAAATTCCACTTAAAGTCAAGGCATATTATTTTTGTAGAATAATGGTGACAAACGAGCACGCAGTCCATCTGATAGTAAGTGGATGCTGTGACTAAGAATCAAAATGCAAATACTTTATCACCCCTGAGAATAAGCCTAAGATGGAATGCCTCGTTTCTAGTATAAAAGTTTTTCCGGTTTCCTACAATCACCGTTGGCAACAAAGCAGCATTAAGCTACTATTTCACTGTGGTATTCTGTGAGAGCGTGGTCCTACTGCGGTCGAGTCAATCTATTCGTGCCATAATAATATATGCAGTTGCAATCAAGAATTGGGGAGAAAGTTGTTACCAACCCCCTAGACAAAGAAAAGCCTACCACCTAATGAAAAGAATCAATACAAACTAATGGTTTAATCATTCATTTCATTTATGCGTCATTGTTGTGGCGTAAGATAATTTACTGCCTCATTGTATGTAATGAGTGTCTCATGTAGCAAAAGAGATAAACTAAAACAGTAGATAGATAGTAGTAGTAGATACTTACTACTATCTACTTTACTGTAGTAGATAGTAGTTGCGAAGGATAGAGTGAGTGATGCATTTGCATGCCAATACTCCTCTTACCCCATTATTCTACCATGAGTAGGAGAAGACACATCTATCACACACGAAATAGACACCCCAAGTCCACTTGGAGTGACCGCCACAGACCGACCCTCTTCTTTTGAAGTTAGCTGCGAATGTCTTTGAACTATGCAGCCAATTACCATCAAGTAGACTGTTCGACAGAGAGACGTTATTCGTAAGTAATGCGAACCTAGTTATTTTGCCAACAGTAGTGATAACGATTATTCTCTACAATATTACGTTGAATTATGATGAAATATTTTTTATATAATTAAAGTGACAAACGAGCACACAGTCCAACTGATGATAAGTGGATGCTGTGGCCCATAGACATCTACGTTTATCCTCAATTAAGAACCAAAATACAGATGCGTTGTCACTCTCGAGAACGAGGTGGAATGTCTCGTTTCCATTAAAAATTCTAACTGGTTTTCTTCGCTCACCATACAAAACACAGCAGAATTAATCCGCTATTTCACGCTGGTTTTCGGTGAGAGCGCGGTCCTACACCGGTTAAGCCAACACAATAGTGCTACAACCATGGTATAGCTGCAGCGTGGTTCTACCACTTAATAAATATAGGATACTTCTGTATATAGATCGCATTTTCTTTTTAGCTTAGAAGATTGACTTATCAAGAGACGAGTAATTAAATTTAATGAAATCGCCAGTAATAACTGTGTTAATTACTCATAATAAAGTCCTTACACCATCATATTAATTTTCCCTATATCTTCATCAAGCTACTAATGTAACTAATCAATTATCAACATCCCTATCCCATATAAGGGATATAGTCATTCGAAATCCTAATAACACAATTGGTCACACTGTGTATAAAAAAAAGACCCATACCAACCGATATTTAAATGGTGAATCTCACCATCATCCTTCACAGTTAGCTACCGTGGGTAAATCTTTGTTTCAGAGAGCACGAAGGATCTGTGACAGAAAACATCTGGCCGCCGAACTTCAGCACGTCAAGCAAGTTTTGCATGATAACAAGCTTCGGGTCCCGCGCCTACGTCACAGTGACCGAGTGAAGCCGGCCACAGTCGAGCGTGTACCTGCTGTACTGCCATATGTCAGAGGAGTCACAGACAAGGTTGGCTACATCTTGAAGCGAGCTTCTATTAAAACATACTACAAGCCGCCGAAGAAGATTAATCAATTTTTACCATCCATCAAGTGTAATATCCCTCTACAAGATGCAGGAGTGTACAAGTTAGATTGTGAATGTGGTCTCTCTTACATAGGTCAAACAAAAAGATCCATAAAGACCCGCGTGAAAGAACATATAGCTGACATGAAGCACCGACGCTCCGGGAAGTCTGCAGTCTGCGATCATGTTCAAGATCATTCCCACCATTACATTCGTTTTGATAAAACACAAATTCTCGCAAAAGAACACCGATTCCTACCAAGGATGATACGCGAGGCTATTGAAATTAAAAAAACATCCAAATTTCAATAGAGAAGATGGATGGGTGCTTGGCTTGGGATCCTATAATTAATAAAATTAAACCCAAACCTAAGCATACCACTGCAAGACTTCATGATACTATAAGCTCGTTTTGCGTAAATCGGACCAAAAATTAATATTCAAAAACTGAAGGTAGCCGGACTAACTATGACATTGGGACGTCAAACATCTCAGTCCCCCCCGTGACCATGGTTGCTGTAAAGCACCCGAAACGTCGGGAATTAAAAATAAGTAAAAATAAGTAAAAGTAGTGAAATAAACGCGATAAAATCCGTAAATTTAGTTTTATTCAAAGTACAAAATGTTAATAAATTTCACATCTTTTTTTGGTGTTTTCGAAAAGTTTTCTAGTAGTACTAGTACCTCTTTAATAACTATTTATCTTTTCATGTCCTAACCACGCCTCTAACAGTCACTATTCAAAATGGGTTTCTCCTACTCCTCTTTGAATATAAAATTTTCACGTTAATCGAATAACACAAATTTTACTGCGTTTAGTTTAAACCTTTTTTTATTTCCCGATATTTCTAATACGATAACGTAATTACAAAATACATTATTTTCACGAGATCGATTAAAAATTAATATTAACAAACGGAGTCGGTGGGGTTCAAATTCTGTTTTAAAACTATGAGATATTGTAGTTTGATAAAATATTTATGTTATGATTCTGTTGTCAACAGCTTGTGATTTTAGAATCTGATATCAGCTTATTTATATTTTTTAAATTCAATTTTTCATATATTTTTATATTTACTGAAAATATAAGAAAAATCAGTTCTACTGAACTGGACAAGGAGTAATAGAAGGAAAATTATACTTTATCAGGTTTATGAATTAACTGCTGATGTAAATTGCCAAAGCGGCCAGCAAGTTAACGTTGGTAAATTAATTCCTACTTTTTAGGAATTAATGTACAAGAAATATTTTGCATGATTTTCTCATTCATTTTCATTCTTCTATGCTCAAATAAAAAGTTACTTTTCGGGAGTTACATAAATTATTTAACCTTTTAATGGCCACGTTTGGTAGGCTTAGAGATTTAAGAAAATCGATATCGAATCGAAAATCAATAAGATATGACGAATCCATGAGTGAGCCATTTCAGGCAGATGAAGTACTTTTATTTATTAGTCTTACTTGTTTATAATATATATATATATATATATATATATATATATATATATATATATAGATAAAACATTTTGTTAGGCCGAAGTTGGAATCTGTTTGTTACCGGTAATACAACTCCCTCATTCTGTTGTTATTATTGTGTTACCTGTGAGACGACCATAATGAAAATTAACGTAAATATATAAATGTGAAGTCCTTTATTTTAGCAACTTTTCAAACTTTTCAGGAACTTGTCTAATTACAGAGCTACTTTCCCTGCGGATACTAAGTACAGTGTTTGTGGAGAAAGTTTTACGAACCCAAATTTTGCAAGAAAATTTCCCGTATACAATACGAATCAAATTTCATTTAGACTTTTCCATTGCTACAAAATTTTACTTTAAATATAAAGAGCATATACATATATATATATTATATATATATATATATATATATATATATATATATATATATATATATATATATACATATTATATTTTTATAATTTAGATAATTTCATAACTAGCTATCTCCGTCAATGCAAATAGATTATTTTGCACGTTCTTAAAATCAATTTTATAGATGTTGGAGCGACGCTGTCACTACATACATAGTTGTAGCACGAATGGGTCGGCTCGACCGGGAAGGATCACGCTCTCACAAATTACAAGCGTAAGATAGCAGTTTAACGCTGATGTGTTACGCATGGTGAGCGTAAAGAACCGAAGACCCTTATTACTAGAAGAGGAGGCATTCCGTCTTAGTCCTCAGGGATGACAACGTATATGCATTTCGATTCTTACTCGAGGTTAGTTGCAGATATCTATGGCCTAAGCATTCACTTACTATTAAGTTGACGTGTGCTTGTTTGTCACTCCAATTATAATTACAAACAACAATATTTTTATAACAACCAAGCTAAAAACTAAAATTATCATTTATACATCTTCCGCGGGTAAAAGTATCAATAGCGCGGGCTACGTTTTCTCGCTTATTGCCCATTAAATACTTAACCTTAAGGCGAGAAAAACATCAACCATCTTAAAACCAGCGGCGAAGACTAATTGCGGCTTCACCTCTCTACCAAGGGACCAAAATCCGTTTGTCCTGTAGTAACCGTGGCAACATTTATAGAAATATGGGATATAACCTTCCAATAAAATTTTTTAGACACCTTGACTTCATTTCTTCACTGAAAAATATCTGTTGATTTCGCAAATGAAAATCATTTAAGATTATTTCAACTACGTTGTTAACGAGACGGTATTGAAAAAAGGATCTTAACTAAAACATTTGTATAGTTTCGTT